AAATACCTTCATTTTATTATTACTAATAGTAATTTTCATGGATGAATAATAACAATGTTTTACTACTTCATATTCGTATTATTATTCTTATCATCATCATCATGGAGTTTTGTTCATTGCCAATGAAGCTAAAAGAGTCACTATTGACAACGTTTTAGTGTTGGGCACAATGGACTAAATCAAAATGGAATATTAAACTTCTTTTGTTTCTTACATTCCATAGAGTTTTGGGCAATGGATGCATCCATGTGTCTAGGGTCTAATGGAAACAGTCTCTTTGTTTTTACAGGGGTAAGACTGTACATCTTCACCCCCATACCCCAACAGAGTTGGGATTGTACATTTTGTACCAGATTGTTTTACTATCATGGAGTAACAAACTTTATGGATCTTCATGAATAGAAATCTGACGAGTTTACCTCAAGGAAGCTTGAGGAGTTGCTAAATGCTATGGTTGGAGCACTGCCAGCATGCCATTTTTCAGCCAAGCGTCACAGACTTGACTGCTTATATTTCTTGATTGTCCATGTATCCAAGGTGAGGAATAATGCGGCTATCCAATCTATGTACTTGTATCATTTTATTTGATGCTTTCCACATGCTCTAACCCTGCATAGCATGGGATAATGCTCAGGATAACTTTGAACAGAGGAGACGTGAAGTTGTTGCTTCTTTTTTGACAGAAATTCTACTTGCCCTCAAAGAGGTGTAGTCTCTGTTTTTCACAGTTTATATTGTGTTACATATTATAAATCTATCTTTTTTGTATCCTCATATGTGCCTAACATGGGCTATATCTTCGTGATAATAATTGACATTTGTTCCATGCCTTTAGGCTAACAAAAGGACAAGGAATAGGGCATATGATATCCTCGTCCAGATTGGCCATGCTTGTGTGGATGAAGAGAGAGGTGGAAAAAAGGAGCATTTACAGCAGTTTTTTGTCATGGTATACCTTGTGTGGTATTTGTTGTGCATGAGTCCTTTTACGTCTTTATTAAGTGTCCGCACTGAAAAAAAATATGTTTTATATTCTCAACTTACAAAGTAGCTTAAACTTGGTATTTTGTGGTAGGTTGCTGGCGGCCTTGCTGGGGAGACACCACACATGATTAGCGCGGCAACAAAAGGTTTAGCTCGGTTGGCCTACGAATTCACGGATCTTGTTGTGGCTTCATTCAATGTCCTTCCATCTGCATTTCTCCTTCTTAGGAAAAAGAATAAGGAAATAATTAAGGTGGGTTGAAGTTGTCTGGTTTTATTTGTGTATTTTTTTCAGTTCAGTAGTTTTATCCACAAATGGTACCCCATCATACTGCTCTTAACTGTTTCACAAATGCAGGCTAATTTAGGTCTCTTGAAGGTATTAGTAGCCAAATCACAAGCTGAAGGATTGCACTCTCATTTAAGAGGCATGGTGGAAGGCCTAATGAGCTGGCAAGACAGTACTAAAAGCCATTTTAAAGCTAAGGTCTGCCGCCCTTGTATCGTGTGTAATTTTCAATTCAGGAACCTCATAGGGCTCGTATATGTGAGCATTTGCTGAATACTATTTTTAGGTTAAGCTGCTACTTGAAATGCTCATCAAGAAGTGTGGCTTTGATGCTGTTAAGGCAGTAATGCCAGAGGAGCACATGAAGCTTCTCACCAACATAAGAAAGGTTAGAAATGTTTCACCTTAAATACAATGATGCTTTTGGGAGATATGATTCATGTATATTAAGTTGCTTCTTCTGAAAGCACAGATTAAGGACAGGAGAGAAAGGAAGTTCGATGGGGGCTCTGATGAAAGTAGATCTCATATATCAAAAGCAACAACCTCCAGGTTTTTCTCTATCCTCGTATATATCTAAGATTTTCTAAGGCATTTAAAGTGCTTTAATAAGTAATAACCAAGCACGTGTGTTGCCCTTAAAGTTAGCCCAAACAGGATCTCAGCTGTGCTGGCATTATGCTATCATTTTACAGATTACCGTAGTATTTTCTAAGTACCCATCCTTGTTTCAGGCTTAGTAGATGGAATCATACAAAAGTTTTTTCGGATTTTGGCGTTGATAGTGAGGGAGAGTCTGCGGGTGTGAAAAGTTTTTCTGGTCGACGAGGTCGGGCCACATCAATGCAGAGGTCAGAGGCATGTTCATCACGGTGGGTTTGAGTTTTTTTTACTATTGATAATTGAAAAATTCAAGATATAAAAGAAAAGAGTAAAGTCACGAGAAACGTTGTTCAAAAATTTCAGCTCCAAGAAAACACGTAGAGCATCCAAGAGTTTGCAAGAGGATTTGTTTGATCAAGAAGATGATGAGCCCCTTGACTTGCTGGATCAACAGAAGACAAGGTTTGCTCTTAAATCATGTGGGACCCGCAAGCGAAAGCCAGAGTCCGATGATGAAGAGATGGAGATAGACGCAGAGGGTCATCTCATCATTCGCGATGAAGATTGCAAGCCAAAGAAGAAGAAGCCCTCACTCTCCGACAGAGAGGAGGCGGCGGCGGATGGTGGTGCAAGGAGTGAAGTGGGGTCCTCTAGGAAAACACAGAAACGCAGAAAAACAACAGACTCTGGATGGGCCTACACGGGAAGCGAGTACGCGAGCAAGAAGGCAGGTGGTGACACATCACGCAAGGGGAAACTCGAGCCATATGCGTACTGGCCTCTTGACCGCAAGATGATTAGCCGCCGGCCTGAGCACCGGGCATCTGCAAGGAAAGGTATGTCAAGTGTGGTGAAGATGACAAAGAGTTTGGAGGGGAAGAGTGTTGCAGCTGCACTCTCAATCAAAGGCCCCAAATTGGGCAAGAGGAAAGGGTCAAAGAGAAGAGCTAAATGAGGTGATTTAGTACTTTATTTATTTATATGCCTTCCTGCCAAGTATATTTAGGCATTGGAGTCCTAGGTTGAGGACGTGCCCCACAGTTTGTCTTTTCCCCCATATAATATGTGTGCTGTTGTGTCCTTTTTCTCATGGGGGCTTTAGAATAACTTTATAAAAATTTTGGACTTCACAAAAAAGATTTTGGAATTTTTTTCGTGAGTTACAAATTCACAACTGAGCATTTTTGGCTGGATTTATTCATTTGGATTGGCTTTTTTTGCCAAATAAGACAAATTTTAATCATTAATTAGTTAAAAATTACATGACATTAATGTAACTAAATAATTTGTTAAAATTATTCTGAAGGTAGATCTAATGAGATTTATTTGCGTTAATATGTTATACGGAGCAGTATAATTTTTTATTTAATGGATGATTGAAGCTGAGAAATGCTAGGGTCACAAATACTTTAGTTACAAGCTAGATTTATAAATAGAAATCATCTTAAATAGGACTAAAACATAGAGAAAAGTACCAAAATAGGATTTTCATATTTTTTTTCCCGGAATAGGACTTTGCACTGTGGTAATGTGACTTTGCATTGTGGTAATGTGGCAGTGTACATGTGAAAATTATTATACTTTTTTGGTAATGTATATGACCATGTTTGGTAATGTAAGTCCTATTTCGGGAATAAAAACATTGAAATCCTATTTTAGTATATTTTCAATGTTTTAGTCCTACTTTAGTCTTTCTCTCATCTATAAATTTGTTACGTGTATATTTAAGTTTTATTTTTTAATTATTTAAAATATTTTTTTCGCTTGGTGAGATGCATAAATGGCAAGCTTATGTTGCTTGTGATCAAAACGTTTGTGACTTGAGCATTTCTCATTGGGAGTGACTTCAACGGGGAAAGAGTAATCAAACAAGGAGAAAAACAATTTTTTGTATTTAAGTAGAAAAGTTCAGAAACCTAACAAGTAGTAACCAATTTGTCATTAGCAATTACTCTCTGTCCTTCAAACGACTTTACACTTGTTTTTGAAATGTTTTAAAATCAACTTTAGACTACAGTTTCCTTTTAGGAAACAAATATGTGGACATTATTCTCTTTCTTTTAAATAAATTTCAACATATATTTTATTACTTTTTTTTAACTTTTCAACAATTTTTTTAACCTTTATTCGAAATAAAGATTGTGAGTTTCTTATTTTTATCATGTTCTTTTCTTTTCATTAACATTTTTCTTTCATTTTCAAATCCTCCAACCAAACATTATATAAGAATTTTTTAGCGTAAGTTTACTAAATTACGTACTACCCAAATGATATTCAAAATATATTGTGACCCAAGCGGAGCCATAAAGTTGGAATGAAGAAACAAAGAACAAACTTATAGGGAGTAGGACCAAATTTTTTAAGGCCCCGTTTGGTACATGGAATTCAAACTGTGGAATTGGAATTGGGGACTTCAATTCCAATTCTAGTGTTTGGTAGCACAAATATTATGTAGATTTGGAATTGATAGTGCAAAAAATGAATTGAAATTGACAGAATTTAATTCTATGGAATTGAATTCAATGGAATTACAATTTCAATTCAATTCCAATTCCACCAATTCCTTATACCAAACGGACCCTAAGGATTCATTTGGTATATGAAATTGAATTAGAATTGAAATTTTATGATATTCAATTCCATAGAACTGAATTCACCAATTCTAGTTCATTTTTTTGCATTGTCGATTCCAAATCTAGTTAATTTTTGTGCTATCAAATACCAGAATTGGAATTGAAGTCCCAAATTCTAATTTCATAATTTGAATTCCATATATCAAGCGGGGTCTAAGAACAATTTTCTCAAACAAAAGAAAATTTAAGTAGTCAATCACATCACAATAAATTGGAATGTTTAACTATGATTGGAGCAAAAATGTATACAGATTTAATATCACCTCTTCTTCTACCACATATTTCTCTGTAAAATAAGAATATGAGAGATTGAGAGAGTGGATAAGAAATAAATATATTGGGAAACTAGTATACAAATTGAGACAAAACTTAATACCTAATATACCCTAGAATATATGGTTCTCTTGTACCTAGCTAGCTCTAAATAAATTTCAGCTAGGACGTCTTTATTTTTATTCCTCCCGGCAAAAAAAAGAGACCAGATTCAGAATTTAATGATTACCCATTCATTCTCTACAAGAAAAAGCGAATGAATTGCTTCAAAAATTCCAGAGAAAAGAGCCCTGGGAAGAAGAGAACCCATCGTATTGGTCTTCGATGTATTCGCTGGTTTGCGGGGCATAATAGTCATTTGCAAATTCATCGAATCCCGGAAAGTACCCGAAGCTCTCCTCGGCAACGACACCGTAGTCGTGGTCGTTCGAAGGAGCGCCCGGGGAGGAGGCACGGCGGAGAAACTCGCCGCCGAAGGGCATTTCTGTCATTTCACCTTCCACTCCGTGCCCGTCGCGAGAAGACCACGGCGGCGACGGGTCCGACCCGATGGCCGTGGAATCCGCGTCCGCGTAACGGGCGGCGGCGACCTTGATCTCGTGGATTGAGAAGGATTCTCCGCCGGGGATGTCGGGAGGGGTGTCGGGGAAGTTGAAGTGAGCACTGCGGCCGCGCAGGCAGAAGAGGGCGGCGTCGAATGCCCGGGCGGCCTTCTCGGGCGAGTCGAAGGAGCCGAGCCAAATGCGCTCCCGGCTATTGGGGCGGCGAATCTCCGACACCCATTTCCCCCAGTTCCTCTTCCTCACGCCCCTGTAGGAAGGGGAGACGGTGTGGTTCGGGTCGTTTTCCGGCCTCTCCATTTTCAAGTTGGCCGGGAAGGGGTCCTCAGGGCGGGGAATATGAATTTGAATTGAATTTGCAGGAAATGCGGAGTGAGAGTGGGAAAATGGCGGCTGAGGGTATATATGTATAGGGGGAGTGGGGAGTGGGGAGGGGGGGAGTGAAGAAGGTAACGTGGAAGGGGGAGGAGTGGGGGGAAGGGTCAACCAGGCCGTGTTTGGNAGACGCGGCGGAATTATTCGGTGTTAGGAGCACCCAGCACGTGCCGCCCCTTTACTCTCTTTTTATTTTTGGGGCTCTCCATTCCAAAATTTTTAAATGCTTTAAAAAGGAAAGTGAGAAAGAGGAGTATTTAAATGTGAATATCCCTATTTTATCTTAGAGAAATGATATTTGAATTTCAATTTTCTATTATTCACTTCTTTCGTAGTCTAATTTGGAATGTTAATAGTAAAAAAGAATGGTAAATATCGTTTTTTATAATTTATATAGATAGAAGCTCACACTCTCAGTGTCACACACTCGCACAATCACTTGTCATGCTCCACTACCGGCAAGGATGTCGGTAACTGTTGACCAGTGATCAACGTACCACACTCTACCATCACATTATGACTATTCTCACTGTTATCTTACAATCATGTCCTTTCCACATATCCAAAATGGCAAAATGAAGTGCATCCTCAAATGCTATGGAGTATTTATTTTTTGACTCATTTTTTAATAGTTCCTTTTTATATTTATTGTTAAAATAAGTTTCATAATTTGTCATTTATAAAAGAGGATTTTCGTTTTTAATGATCTACATTATCAATTGTATTCCCGTGATATTTCATTTAAAGGTACGTACCTTTTCCTAAATAATCTATTTTGATTTTCTGTCATGTTTATGTTAATTTAAGGGTTAAGAGTGTAAATTGATATCCACCATATGTCTAGTGACCTATTTCGATATCTCGAACAATAAAAAGTGTTAATACTTACTCTGACTATAAACTAGGATTCCAATTAAAGACCCCATCTACAGACTATGCTTTTATTAGAAAGTGACTACAATGCACTAACCTCTCGAATTGTGTATGACACAAAAGATATATGATCATTGTGAAATTACAATTTTAATCCTTAAATTAACATCAACATGACAAAAGATCAATGAATTAAATTTTAAAATTTCACTGTATAACACATTGAAAATTGAAATACATAATTTAATTTGGTATAACACATTGAAATACATAAGTTAATGTATTCTTATACCAACTTGTTAAATTAAATTATTTATTTCTATACCAACTTGTAAATAAAATTATTTTCAACTTGTGGCATTATGTGTGGAGTAATTTATCTAAATAGAACTAAAACATAATGACTTTCTCAATATAGGACAATATGTTTTTATTTTCCAGTGTAGGACCATTGGTCAGTATCTATTAGTCATTATTGAACTAAATGTCCAGCATCACTTGGACATTATTCTTCTCACTAGTCATTATTAAGTCCTATTTAAGAAATAAAAAAGTTTAAGTCCTACATTGGAAAATGACTTATGTTTTAGTTCTATTCGGTGCAAATTTCACGGTGTTAGTATTTTGGAATATAAAACATGTTTAGCTCTACGTAAGTATTTCTTTGTTTTTAAAAATAAAACAGGCAATTGATTTCATATTTTATATACTCTCTCCATCCCAAAATTAAAATCTCACTTTTCAAATTAGGCGTCCCAAAATAAAAGTATCAATTCCTTGTTTTGAAAACCAATAACACCATATATATAACCCTTACATTTTTACTTGTTTGAAAATAATTTCAGCTTCTAGCTTATGCAAAACATTAATTCTAATTGAAAATGTTGTTCCCAAACAAGTCCTTACTTTTTTCATATTTCTAATTATTTTGTAGCGTATCTCTCTTATTTTAAAAGTGATAGATTTTGCACGTTGTATTAGTGAAAAATATGTCTAGGGTAAAATGGCCAAGTCATTGCCATTTTTAATTTTACCTTAATAAGTGTTATATTATCAAGGTTTTAGGTTTGGGAAGGAAAGAGTGTAATATTTTATAGAGAAGTTTACCTAAATGATAGTAAAACATACTTGGTAATATTTTTTTTAATGTAGTATCATATGTTTTTATTTTCCAATGTAGTATCACTAGTTATTGCTTAAGTAAATATTCAACGCCCTTGGACATCATTATTCAAACCACTAGACATTATTCAATTACTATTTAGAGAATAAAAAAATTTAAGTACTACGTTGAAAAATAACATATATTTTAGTATTAATTAGTGCAAATTTTATCATGTTAGTATATATTTTTCTTGTTAAATTTCATTAGTGCAAATCTCTCATCAATTCGGTGTGGAATATAGTGAGGTTTCCCAAATCCGAACACCGAATGAAATGGCGTAGCGGGATTATGCCGTAATTGGTTGATATAGTAAATGACACACTCATTCCTTGTTAGATCTGAGTTCCATTCAATTCCTAAGGCTCCGTTTGCTACATGGAATTCAAACTATAGAATTGGAATTGGAGACTTCAATTTCAATTCTAGTGTTTGATAGCACAAAAATTATGTAGATTTAGAATTGATAGTGTAAAAAATGAATTGAAATAGACAGAAATCAATTCTATGGAATTGAATCTCATGGAATTATAATTCCAATTCAATTCCAATTCCACCAATTCCTTATACCAAACGGACCCTAAAAGAAAATTTCATGAGGTGATTTAGTATGAAATGTGTGTAAATACTTAATGGAGACTTCAACCTTTATAAGTCAAGTCGTGACTAAAGATTTATTTGTTACATCCTCCATTCAAACTATTGATTGGATGGGGTATCTCGTTTACACTCTTGTTGTTTGGATTGGATAGAAAGAAAAATAATGGAAAGAAAAAAACATAGATGAAAGAAAGTAAAAGAGTATATTGAATTTTTATACTTATTTCGTCCCATAAATAGATTGTAAAATTTTGTATTCAAGAACACAATTTCATTTTTTAAAAGATATTTATTGTCAAGTCGAAGGTTAAACCTTTTTATGAAACAAAATAAGTAAGTAGATTTAGATGAAAGAAACATAGAGGAGATAAAGAAAATTAAAAAACACAAACTTCTTGTCCCCTTTTTTCTCACCATCCTGTTGGCGACAGAAGAAGGAAGCCAGATCAAAGAAGGAAACTGAATCCCTTTGGGATTCGGTTTAGTATCTTTCCTAGTTTGCTTAGTTCTTGTTATAGTAGGAATAGAAATATGGTAGGAATAAAAAATACTTAAATGCTTTACTCTCTTCCTATATAAAGGGGGTTAGACCTTTGTAAGCACAAGCCAGTTCAATATACAGAATATTTTCTCTCTTATCAATTTCTACACATCCAGACCAAGAAAAATACAACTTTGATCCCAATTCATTCATTGAGTTTGACTTTTCTCGTCAAACTAGATAAATTTCACACTTCAATAAAATAGAATTGATAATATATTTTTGTATAAAAATGATTCTATTAATTTTATCTTGTTTAAGATTTTAAAATTTTATTAAAAAATATTACAAGTGGAGAGTAATTTATAATTAAATTTTCAATTAGGCGAATATGTATGTAGATGAATTTTTACACTTCAATAAAATAAAATTTTTAATATATTATTGTATAAAAATGAATCTATTAATTTTATCTTGGTTAAAATTTTTAAAATTTTATTAATAAATATTACCGGTGGAGAGTAATTTATAATTAAAATTTCAATTAGGCGAATATGTTATGACAAAATAAATAAATACGGAGTAATTCTTTACTTTCTGTTTTCGTTCCTTTGCTTCCGTTTTCCACTGAAACAAAAGGGGGTTTAAGGGAAAAAAAGGCACTCCCTCCCTCCGATAGTTTTTGTCAATTTTTCGCAGTTTTTTTATCAAAATTAGGAAACTTTGACTAAAAAGTAAACGAAAGTCATACACCTCTCGTCCATAATTTGATTACAAATGTAAAAAAAAGATAATAGACAAACTAGAGAATAGATGCGACAATAGACAAACTAGAAATTAAAAGGTGTTCCTTCAAGACAGGTTTTCGGAACTCGTATTGGGTGGTCAGTTTGGGCATACATATGTCGGCAAGAATAATCCAAGCATGGTTGGACGGTAGCGATTGAGAGTCGCGGAGAATATTCAGATATTCTCCTTTAAGCACTATTTGCCAAAAGTGGTGTCATCGATCAATACAAGCTGACAAATGAGTAGGACAAGCGCTATATGACAAGGGAAGTCATCTCGCACCGTCTGGAAACGTGGGCCGATGTGGACATTCTTTGTCTTATCCCCTAGGCTCCACTATAAATAGCCTTGTAACCCTCAATATAAAGGATCGGAATTTCATCTTTCTAAATGCATATTATGCAATACTTCCTCGCACTCTTTCCATACTTAATAAATATTGAACTACAGGTGTTCCCACTCATAGTTCTCTCAGTCAATCTCTATTTTCTGTATCTTTTTAGTTCTTAACCTTAGTAAATCACTCTAGACCCATTCTAAAGTAATTTATCCGGGTGGTAATTGTTGGGGAAATTAATGATAACTTGGATGAATCGAGAGTTGTGTAAACACTTTCAGATTGAATATTTTGGTTGTTCACTCCAAAATTCAATCGGATAAAACTCGAAAGTATCAAGAACGAAATATGAGGATTGCTATGAAAAATCCGAACTAAAATCCGACCAAGGCCTGCGGGAATTTATAAACTTCCGGCAGAGGGAGAAGACGTCTATCGCGTCTCTTTCCCAAGTTACGCGATCCTTCGCGCGGAAGTTCTCCAAAATTTGGTGCTATCCAAACGGGATTTTTTTCGTAACAAACTCAATGAAGTGTGCACTCCGCACCACCAAACTTCGTTGAGGATTATTAGGATACCATTGGTCATAGTTTTTCCAATTACACTAAAATATATAACAATAATTCACACCATCACTACTGTTGGCATTTCATGTTTTGGTCATTTTCTCATTTACTTCCAAAAGACAAATTTAGAGGTCATCCTCCAATCATCAAATTTAATTAATAAATATTACCATTGGAGAAATTTATAATTAAGATTTCAATTAGGCGAATATGTTATGACAAAACAAATAAATACGGAGTAATTCTTTACTTTTTGTTTTCATTCCTTTGCTTCCGTTTTCCACTAAAACAAAAGGGGGTTTAAGGAAAAGAAGGTACTCCCTCCCTTCTAGAGTTTTTGGCCATTTTTGACAGTTTTTTGTCAAAATCAAGAAACTTTGACTAGAAAGTAAACAAAAGTGATGCTCCTTCTGTCCACAAACTAGAGAATAAAAGACGTTCCTTCAAGAAATCACTCAGGCAAGTTTTCAGAACTCATACTGGGTGGTCAGTTTGGGCGTACATGTGTCGACAAAAATAATCCAAACATGGTTAGACGGTAGCGACTGGAGATCGCAGAGAATATTCACATATTTTCGTTTAAGCACTACGCGCCAAGAGGGGTGCCATCAGCACAAGCCAACAAATGAGTAGGACAATCGCTACGTGACAAGGGAAGTCACCTTGCTCTCAATAGAAAGGATCTGAATTTCATCTCTCTAAGCGCATATTATGTAATACCTCCTTGCACTCTTTCCATACTTAATAACTATTGCACTGCATGTGTTCCCACTTACAGTCCTCCCGACCAATCTCTATTTTTTGTATCTTTTTAGTTCTTAACCTTAGCAAATCACCCTAGACCCGGTCTAGAGTAGTTTGCCCAGGTGGTAATTTACACCATCACTACCGGACCGGGACCAGGACCGAATAAGGGGCATTTGGTAGACCGAGGACCGGACCGATTAAGCTAAGGACCGGCCCGGGACCGGACCGGACTGGGACCAGACCGAATAAATGTTTTTTAATTTTTTTAAATTTGATTTTATTTATTTAATTTAAAGTGTTCAATTGAAAAAAAAATTACTACAACTAATTTTTAATTGTAACATACACTAAACATTGTCAAACATAGTTGTTTTGAATTTTTTTAAAAACTTTAAATAAAATATATATCTTCCATCCATATTACATAAAATTTATTCGTAATTTTTATTTTACATAGGGAATATTCTTCTTTTTAGTGCATTTTTGTAATATTTTTTTGAGTTTTCGATTTATTTTGACAAACAGATACATTTTTTACTATTTTTGTTCATGAGATACTTTACAATGTTTGTTTTTGCGGATTAGAGTTTCATTATTGATAAAGTACAAATTTAAGTTATAGTACTGGTACATAAATTTGAAATGCATTAGATCGCTAATATAAAGGTAATGTTTACTTTTTCACACTTTTCATATAAAAAATATTTAAAAATCTTTAGACTTGATATCTTATTTTGAATTGAAAATGTATTTAAAAAATTATATTTAATAATAAAATCAAAACATTTAATAAACTTTTAGTAGAAGAAAAAAACTTTAAAAATACAATAATATAAAACTATATAGAAAAAAATATTTAAAAAAATAAAATGTAACCAGTCTACCTATCCGGACCGAAACCCGGTGGACCGGACCGGACCAAACCGGAACCGGAATCCGAATAAGGAAAAAATGAGGACCGAATACCGGTCCGGTCTGGTTTTGGCTGGATTTTGGGCCGGTCCGATTCCAGACCGAATAATTCACACCCCTAAGGCCCTAATCGTTGACATTTCATTTTTTGGTCATTTAGTTCCAAAAGACAAATTTAGAGGTCATCCTCCAGACATCAAATTTGGTTGTTTGACTAGTTCAATCAACTATTTATGGTCAAAGAAGCCAAAGGCGGGGAGAACCACCGAAAGGAAGTCATTGGCCCTGTTTGGCATCAGCGTTAGAAATTAGCGTTTTGAAAAGACTATCTGACGGCAACTTTTAACATCAGCGTTTAAGACTTAATCTACACTATTAAAATTTTATTCAAAACGCTAATTGAAAATATTGTTCCCAAACTAGGCCATTATTTTCAAAGAGATAATTTTTTGGAATTTTGTGGACTTTTGGGAGGGATGAAATGTGAAAAACAAGGGTAGATTCTATTCTTTTTCAATCCGGTCATAAATAAAAGTCAACTTTACTCCTCCGAGCTACAATAAGTTTCAAATTTTCAATCTATTTAAAGAGGTCTCGGGAAAGATGCATCCATTTTTCCATTTAGAAATCATCCTAAATAGGATTAGAACATAGAGAAAAGTACCAAAATAAGACTTTCATGTTTTTTTCCCGGAACAAGACTTTGCATTGTGGTAATGTGACTTTGCATTGTGATAATGTGGCAGTGTACATGTGCAGATTACTATACTTTTTTGGTAATGTATATGACCATGTTTGGTAATGTAAGTCCTATTTCGGGAATAAAAACATGGAAGACCTATTTTGGTATGTTTTCAATGTTTTAGTTCTACTTTGGTCTTTTTCTTTTTTCCATTCTTACACATTTATTCTTGTACCAAACAACAAATCTCGAGTATTAAATTAGTAAATAACACAGCCGGAGTTTTAGCAATTTTAAATTTCGGTTTATTCTTCAAATTTGTTTTTTTTACTTGTATGCAGTTTTATTATTGTAAGCCAAAAAACAAGTATCTACTTGCTTATTCATCATTTTTTCCCTTCTTCCGTTCATTCTAAACTAATTGAGCATTATATCATTCTCCACACATTAAAAAAATAAATAAATAGAGACATAATGTATATTCAAATTCATTTAACTTTTAATATATCACAAATGGTCAATTAAAATCTCACAACCCCAAAATAACCACCTGCTTATTGCTTCAGTTTATTGATTTGGCTTACTGTCAAAGATTTATGAAATAGTGGGAATCATGTTGATCCATCAGACTTCTTGAGTCCAATTCAACCCCAAAAGTTAACTCAAGAAATTGAGTTACCCAAGCTATTAAATAACAGCACAGTATAAGGCTGCATTGCCGCTGTGGGATGAACAAATCAACAGATCACAAGCTAAAACAGCAACAATAATTCATCCATCACACTTTAGAATAATGGGATATCTCCGGATGACTATGCATATAATGAGCAGAAGTAGAAATGATCTAACAGCTTGATTACATCAACTAACTAATACCCAGAGTAAAACCAGTCAAGTTGTTGGACCAGATGGGGATTTGGAGCCAAAGTTTATGTGGTAATAATCAAGCACACACACACAAAAAAGGGGGCAAATGAAGCTAACTAACAGTAGTACAAGGAAGGCCATGCACCAATCCTCCCTATATACCCTGAGAGTAATAATAAAAGGCTCTATAATTAATTATTGCTCGATTTTCATAGGAAAATGGACACCCAAATCCAGCCATCCCTTGCTCCTCTCTACTTCCGCCTTAGAAGATGATGATGATGATGAATTGGCTCCTTTTTGGTTCACCAGTGCATATGGACTCATAGACACAATTCTACAATTCATAAGAATTTAAAAATAAAAACAAGAAAATCAAACCAATTTTCTTCTAGAGAGTTTTTTGGTCTAAAATGATTACCCATAGATGTTATTCGGGTAGATTTTTGTGTCATTTATTCCAGAACTCTTTATAGAAATTGCACGAATCCTCTTGGACTTCAAAACTTGCACCAATGCTCACTGAACTTTTAAAAATATCAGTAGTACTGGCCTCTGCCTCGAATTTAGAAGTTCGTTCATCCCACTCTTCAATATACATGTTGGAGCTAGGAGATAAAAATGTCATGGATTGATGAAGAATTTTATGGATTGATGAAGAGCAATTGATCGACTGAGGCCCGAACTTTGAGTTCAGTTACAGGCTAAAGAGAGAATAATTTTCTGGCCTTAAATAGGTTAAAAGTATAGAGATAATGTTTGAGAAAAAACATATTCCATGATATATGAGTTCGGATGAATTCACACACGTACTAGAAGAGAGAGTGATTAACGCGCTCTCAAATCTGGAGCAGAAGGACCATTATATGGCAACATTTTTCAAAAGTTCAGCGACCACTGGTGCAATTTTTAAAGTTCAAGAGAAATCCGCATAATTTTTTGAAGAATTCAAGAGTAAATGACACAAAAAAAAAACTTAAATTCAGGTGTTATATCACTACCTATCTTTTCTCTTCTCCAAAAACCGGGTCAGGGATGCCCTCCTTGATAGAGGCAAGTCTGCAAAAAAAAAACACCCAAATTAATTACAACTATAAATGGTATAGAATTAATCTTCTGAACACAATCAAGTCGAGTAAAAAGGGTTTAATTAAGGAATAGATTAGCAGCAGAAATCAAGTTAGCAGTCCTACCAGAGACATTAGGCGGCTGAGGAGGTCTCTGGTTCCCAAAACAAGGGGCCGCAGCCTTATTAGAAGGCGCCATGGTTTTGCTAGCAAGAAGCATGATTTCTCTGGCCTTGTCCGCCGGGAAGTCGTTGAACACAATCACCTGCCCGCCGTAGAAAATGGTCATCTGTGCCTTCTTCTGGGGCTCCGCCTTGGCTCTTTCCTCTTCCCTGTCGGGAAACAAGGTGTGCGATTTTTGCCCGGATTTCTCAATCATCGGCAATAGATCCATGGTCTCTCTCGGAGTTCCTGTGCACCAATTTCAGCCATAAGCTTATGTTATTCATTCAGCTCAAATAGGGCTCGCAACGAATTTTGGGTATGAACACTACCAACAAACACAACAAATGAAATCTGGAAATCTCAAGAACACAACAGAAAAAATCAAGAAAAGAGGAAGCAGAGAGATAAAGAACAAGAAGATTCCGGCGAAAGGGGCGCACCGGAAGAGGAGACGGGATTCGGGGCAAGGGCGAGGGTGAGATCGCCAAAGGAGCCCTTCTCCTTTAAGTACTGGCTCAAGCGGTGGCAAGTGGTGGAGAAAGTGGACCGCTGGCCGCCGGGGAGCATACCGGCATCGGGAATCTCCGGTGAAGTCATGTTTCCCGGCCGGCGAGTGTTGGAAATCCGTGCGCGCTTCTCCAAACTCCAATGGTATTATTGTTCGATTTATCTTTTCTTCCGGGAGTGCAAATGCGCAATGGCTTTTGTTGATGGCATAAAATGAGCACATGTTTGTTTATTTATATATACGGAGCTATACGGTATCTGCGTGTCCCCCTCGCTCTCTCTCTCTCTCTCTCTACACGTAACGGCTTGCTTTACTGGTTGGGCCTTGAACGGGTCTCCCACGTCATTATCTTTAATGACCATTAGTAGATACTAAATACCGAGTAAAACCTAGTTTATAGGTACATTAAAATGGGATACTTTATTTGTAAACGGGGTAAATATTAAAACTAAGTGTATGAAATCACAGACATTTAGTTTTTGTATTTGATTGGTTTACAAATGAGATACCTCATTTTGATGTATTTCTAGCTTTATTCTTTTCCTATTTTATTAAGAAAAAACTAAATGTATCCCAAATTGGTGTACACTACCTTTTCACAGACACCAACTGCATATGTTTCACATAGACAATGAGTGTCCGTGAGAAGGTAATGTACACCACCTTGGGGTATTCCTAGCAAATCTCATTCTATTTTCTCATTTCAAATTATGATGTTTAACTAAAGAGAGTCTTCTTTTCGCAGTTTGACCCTTTCGATTCTGTTTCGGGCAAAATAACATTCGTATAAAAAATATCATTCGTAACAGACCTGATCAATTGGGGTTAGTTAGATTTCACCAAAGGCAGATCCGGAACATAGGTGGTTAAACAAAAAAAGGACGCCCCTCAAGAGGTGGGATAAAAATTGTTAAGGTGACTATGATCGTTACCTTGTAAAAGTGAAGTTAAATCAGGGGTCGGCCTTTAGTCCTTTTTTGTTTGTTGTGGTAATGGATATTCAATCACATTGTGTCCAAGGAAAAATCTATAGGTGCATGCTTTGTGTTGACGACATGATATTATACTGATCGATGAAACTCGGGAAGAACTCAATCACAAGTTAGAGTTGTGACGTCAAGTCCTTGAAATTCAAAGATATCAGACAGAGCATGGCTAAGACTGAGTACTTGAAAGTGGGTTTTAGTGATTTGATGACAAAAGCAAAGGCGGAAGTTAGAATGTGGGTTTTAGTGATTTGATGACAAAATACTTTCACTTTCTATTTAAAAACCATTTTTATCCCTATTTTTTTCTTACTGTACCTATCACATCATAATTTTTCACTAATAATTTATCCATCACATCTTACTTTTACACAACATATCTAGGAAGAAATTGGAAATTCAACCACAGATATACAGTCCTTATTTCTTCTAAAAATCAAAATAAGAACCATTTTATGAAATGGAGGGAGTACAATATAAGCTCGGAGAATAAGATAAGTTTATCTCTCAAATAGCTCAACAAAATCTCTATAATTTATCCGCAAATAATATGAATATAATGATGAAGAATGAGAGATATTGTTCAATTAAAAGTACACCCAAAACCCCCATATTTATACCTTAAAAGTTTCATAGCCATTGAGAAAAGATTGAGATTGATTGAACGTAATTTATACAATCAAGTTAAAGTTTAGTCTGCTAAAAATACGCTAAACATTGATATTGTGAAAGCAACATCATTGTTGTCAAACTTGACCTTCCTTTAAGGATGCCAAAAGACATGTCGGCCAACGGTCACCAAAAAATCGATTATTAAAAAGCCAACATCGATGTTCTCAAAAGCACACTTACCAAATTTGAAAAATCTCCCCTTGTCGACAAGACTTTCGATGCAAAGTTCAAATTGCAGATATCCTCTTCATTGGGATACACCAATTGATCCGCCAAATCATCTAGTACCCCTATTACATAAGCTTGGGATCAAATACCACATGTTGGGGTCGCACGTACCCTCGCCCCAACTCCGCATTAATATGACATTATCTGTTTTGGCCACGCCCTCACGAGTTTGTTTTAGGACACCTCACAAAAAGTCTCATGCTAATGAAGTTCGATGAACCATTAAATATTAGTTCTCTTCTTTTTTTCCTTTAGGTGTGGGACTAATTTACATCCTCAAACCTTTTTTCGTCTTTGGAATTGTTGTTTCTCAAAACTTTTTCATTGACTCGTTCCACCATTTTTCATTGGTGAAAATTAATTATGTTTTATAAATAAAAACAAATATTGAGTTATACTGTATTACTGTATTAAAATTTGGAGGCCCCAATTTTTTGAGTTATTCTTATTTTATCTTATTTTTTTATGAAGATCAATTTCAACCATTCCGTACATCGTTTTAGGGAGAATGCCCTGGATAAGAGTAAAAATTATGAAAATGAGAACATAAGAGTCTAAAGTCTTTAAAAACTAAAATAAGAATTCTCACTACCGTTATGAAAATTATGAAAATGAGAACATAAGAGTCTAAATTCTCACAATGTCACACTATTACTGTCACACTGCCAACTGTCGCTGCCGACCACTAAAGTAATGTTGTCGATCACCGACGGTAGACTGACACACTGCCATATTACACGATCATAATTTTTTATGGCACTGTCAATGCGTACTCTTATATCGCACTGCCATGAAACCCATATTTTAGTCTTAAAAAACTTGAGATTCTTATTTTATTATTTTAATTTTATACTTTTTTACTCTTATCTAGGAGATTTTTTTATTTATTTGTATCACTTTTTCATATCATAAAAATAATACCTCATCTGTCCTAAATTATTTACTCTAATTTGACTTTTATACTATTTTGATCATAAATTCTTAGAAAAGTATATTTAAAATAATTAAATTTTCTTTAAGATAGAGTTTTGATATATCAAAATTCTAAAACTTTTATTTTTTAGAATTATATTTAATTTATGGTCAAATTTTTTTCCACGAAGTATAATTATCCGTACCGCTCTAAAAACACTACGATAGCAAAAAAAACTCTATTCCAATGTATTTGTTTATTACTCTAGTTTGATATTTTTGAATTAAACTAGACAAACTTTGAGCTTCATTTATTCTTGCTTTGTACCACATATATATACAATGAAATTAAATTTATCAAGTTTCCAATAAGATGAATCTAATAATATCATTTCCATGGTAATATACATTTCAATTTTTTGTTTAATTGAAATTTAAAATTAATCCGAAATGAATAAAAAAAAAAGTAAAATTAGACAAGTACATTCAAACGTAAAAATAATGATATAAATGAATTGGCATGAATTGGTAGAGGCTTTGCTATCATGGCCACTCTTCCCAGTGAACACCGCGCGCCCTCCTTTTGTCTCTGAGTCGTGCTCCGTTTTTTTCTTCTTTGTTTATTTCTTTTATTTTTTTTAGTTATTTAGCTTAGTTTAGTTTAGTTTCTTTCACTTTTTTTTGTTTAGTTTTTTTAGTTGCTTTCTCTTTTTTGTTTAGGTTCTTTTACAGGGTAGATTTTCTTTTATTATTTATTTTTTCGTTTTTTATTGTTTGTATTCAGTTTTTTAGTAGTATTTTATTTAAGAGATGTTTAAAAAGTTATTTAATTTCTTTATATAAAAAATAGAGAGAATTTAATTTGAGTAGAAATATTTTAATTTGAATAAAAATATTGTTTAAGAGATTGTCCGATCCTTTTTTGGTGCAATAATTTTATAAAAAGGAAAAAATTAATAACGATAAAGTAATAATATTAAAAAAATAAATTTGTATTATTGATTTATAAATGATATAATGATATGTTTGAGAACATGGATTTGGATTTCAAATCCGGATTTGACTCAAATTCCATATTTGGAAACTTAAAAATTTTGAATTTGGATTTGTGTCAAATTCTTCTCACTCATAACATAATATAATTTGAATATAAAAATGAAATTATTTATAAAAAAAATAAAAGTGTAATTATTGCAATAGTGGTGAGACATTATAGATACCAAAGGAGTGAAATGGTGAGTCAATAACTGTTCGGCGTTACCATTAAAATACACGCGCAACACCACTAGCGCATGTTAAACGACACGTGTTTGAAATGCAAGTTTTTCAAACCTCTACCATTTTTAATTACGAAAAGACTAACCCAATTGCGTACAGTACTTCATACGAAGTACTCCGTACAAACTTATCTTCCATGGCGTTTCTATTTTCTAAGTACTTCCTCGTCCTATAATGATCTTCCCAGACCACTATTCCAACTTCACGGGAATTTATATTTATTTGTGTTTTTTCATGGCCTATATGATAAAATGAAATATTCTTGTCACCACTTGTTTTGTTGAACTTTTGATGTAGTTTTTAAATATGTATGTTTTATTTTTTATTTCTATACCAATATTTAAATAAAATAGATTGAAAAAACTTGAGATTTTTTTTCGTTTTGCGAACCGGGAAGATCATTATAGGACGGAGGGAGTATTAAACTATTTCTACATCAAAATTTGTATTACTCCATCCCTCTGTTTCATATTTGATTTTTTGTGGTCAAAGTTTGTAAACTTTGATTATGATTTGTGAAAAAAAATATATTGTATTATAATTTAAATTTAATATTAATATATTCATAATGAAATGTAGTTTTCAAATATCAAATTTTTATAAAATTTTTCTACGTATAGATATAGATATTAATGGTCAAAGCGCAATATTGGAGACCGTAAAAAGTCAAATGGGAAGGACATTTCTCGATGGAGGGGTATACTTTGTACTCTAAAGACATGCTTTGACATTCTGTGTTGGTATAATGTTAGCGTGATAATTTACATTGACAAAAAATATCAATGTAATTTTTTTTAAATTGAACTAACATTTTCTACTCGTATAAAGTGTTAAAATGTCGGTGCATTTCTTTGAGGTACATTTTTTGGCGTACCCTAGCATGGTTGATTTTCAAAGGCCAAGCAAACTAGGCGGACGTTTAAGGCTTTTGAATGATATAATTTAGGAAAATGCTAGGGGTACACCCCAAACATCTCCCACCCCCTCCATCACCACACAAAAAAGGTAAGAAATTTTCAAAAAAAATTAAAAACAAAAACAAAATAAAATGAATGGTTAGTAGGAGGGTGGTGTACATTTGGGGTACACTTTTTGGTGTATCAACGGATAACATTTTGCACTACTTTCAAATGGAAAAAATACTCCATATTAACTCTATCTATTTTGAATTTTTCAATTCAAACTAGAAAAATTTTGAATTTCAATTACCCTCAATAGGAATTGCATATTTTTCAAGAAAATGAAATACTCCTTCCGTCCTAAAATTTACTTCTCATAGCACTATTCCAACTTCACGGGAATTTATATTTATTTGTGTTTTTTTCATGGCCTATATGATAAAATAAAATATTCTTGTCACTACTTGTTTTGTTGAACTTTTGATGTAGTTTTTAAATATGCATGTTTTATTTTTTATTTCTATACCAATATTTAAATAAAATAAATTAAAAAACCTTAGGATTTTTCTTCGTTTTGCACAACGAGAAGAAAGTTTAGGAGGGAGGGAGTAAAACTTTAAAAATTCTCAATAAAATAAATCTAATAAAATCACATCACCTTAAATGAACAGTGACGGCGTTATCAGACGGTTAAGTGGAGAACAACAGAAGCGGTGCATGTTCTCAACGAATCTGAATCAGATTTCATTGTCTTTTTTTATTAGAGCAATGCTAGGGGTACACCATTTAGGGTACTCCAAATGTACATCACCTTCTTTTCCTCTACACATTTTTATTTGATTTTTATTTACTTATTTTTTTTGAATTTTTTTGCCTTTTTTAGTGGACAAGGAGGGGTGAGGGACATTTGGGGTACACCTTTGGTGTACCCCTAGCATTTTTCTTTTTATTATTATTATTACGGAGTATTATTTTGCTTGAAAAAGAAAAAGAGGTTTTTTACTGGTGTGGAGTATTCAAATTGAGAGTGGGGGGGGGGGGGG